ACCAGAGCTCCATCATCCTCACCTCTTCCAGAGGCTCCTGTCTGCAAAGATTTGAATAATTCCTGGAATCAGGACATTAATTTAGGTTGCTTCAAATGAAAACTACCATTAGGTTTGTTTCCTTAATCACACATTCGTGTGCATCTGGGTAATGGAACAATTTTGCTTCAGGCTATGCTAAAAATTGGTCAACGAGGGCAGAGCAAAACTTCCACTTGCATCAGACAGTGATGGGGCTCTCTGCTGACAAACATTACCAAACGGTAAGAACTGCTCTCATACCAGAACATTAGGTGACAGCTCAGCCTTGCAGGAACAGGCAGATGTAATGAAGCAATATGGCATTATGCAAATAAGCACACACTAAACTGTTCGAAAAAGCTGCGCTTCCTGACCCATTTTCAAGTACTACAAATTTGCTCGTCGAGTATTACGGATAATATTGGGAAATCCCTTTTTCCTCCACTGCTATCTGCTAAAAAAGCTGTGACACCAAGAGTCAGATAAGGAAGACATCTTAGTACCTGGACTCGAAGAATTTGTGAGCGGAGAAAGCTGGTGGCTGGTAAGTAATTTCTCTTCCTTTCACCTCTCTGCAACATATACTGGGTTTCAGGCTGTGGCCCTTCGGTCCAGGGGGATCTCAGGGTACCTGCAAGGCATCAGCAAAGGCAAACCTGTTTTCAGGACATTGTTACTCACTACATAGGGATCCACATGAGCAATACAGAAGACGTGTTTCTATTAGTCAAAAAAGGCTGAAAAATCCCTATACAACAAACCTGTAGTGACTTAAGTATCACAGGAAGAGCACTGGATAGCCTTGGGCCTTAATCCAGACTGTATGTGTCCCAAAAACTTGCCTTGTTGCCTACACCTTCATTAAAAGCAATCTAGCTCTGATGGCTAAAGGAACTTGACCGCTTACATTTGTAAGGTTAACCACATTTCTATTCTTCACATTGTGTTTCAGAACTCCTCAGTAAGGCATTCAAATTTGAAAATAACAACAAAATACCATTGCAAAACTAAGGCGTTTTAGCAGGATTTTTTTTGATTGGATGGGATTATCCACAATCTCAGATCTTCTCCCAAACTTCCCTGCAGAGCTGGAAAGCCTCAACCGATTCCTCTCAAACTGTTCAATTCAGGGTTTCAGGGGGGATTTTCAGCATTTTAAGTACAGAAGGCTGACACATCGTGAAAGACAATGGAAACTGAGACTGAAAAGAAATGAAAGCCCAGAGCCATAAAAGGATGCAAGTGCCTAAATACTACCTTGCTGGTACTGTAAGCATTAAGGAAATCCTCAAAACTTTCCTTATGCCCAGAGGCATCCAAACCTTCATAGAGAAATTGCCTAAGTGCTGAGAAAGGTACTTCATCCCTTCTGCTGAAGTCATTCCACCCCAAGTGATTTGGCCAGAGAGAGCAAGAGGAAGATGCTACAGTGAGCCCAGCTTTGGGAACAGGGAGATGTTTGTTCCAACCCCTAGGCCACCAACCATTTTTATCCAAAAAAAGATTCAGTAGAAGAAACTGAGAGCTCACTTCTCACTTCCACAGACAGGCAGCAAGCTTACTGTCTGGCAAGATGGGAAGTTTTTGAGAAGTGACAGAGTGGAATCAAGTCTGGTCTTTGTGGGCTTGCTGAGGGAACACGTTATTGGCTGGAATACCAGGTAAAGGAAGGCGTTCTCCCAGCTGGCAGTGGTCAGCAAGGAAGAGCCAGTTTATTTACTTGTACAGATGGCTGAGAGCTGTGAACCCTCAGCGGTGAGATTCACCCAGCAGGTATACCCAACTTGGGAACAGCAGCTGAAGACATTCAATTCAACACTTATTGACTGGGTCCATTATTAATGTGCTGGGTTTGTAAATCCTGACCTTAAGCCGACAAGCTCCCAAAACTGTTTATTCCTCAGATATATCTCCTATTGGCAACTGCCTTCCTCCTTGTTTATCCACTTGGTCTCTCCCCACTTCAAGGCTTTTAAGATTTCCTTGACAGAAAACAATACACATTCACTGTACAGCACGCACTTGTAATTATTAATAAAGGGTGCACTTTTGAACCTTTTTTCCATGTTCAGCTTGCTGGAAAACACAACAGGATACGTGCTTGAAGGTTGGTCTGAAACATTCAGAAAAACAAAAAGCCTCTTGAACTAGATACACAATAGCAGAAAGTAGGCATAAAGAATTTTACGTCTGCCTTGAAGACTACAGAAAAGCACCCTTCAGAAGCTTGGCACTAGCATTACTTAAAAATGGTGTTTTGTCTACCCTTCCCTTAAATACTTCTGTCCAAAAGTAAATTCAGAGTATTTCAGGCAAAAGCTAAAATTTGTTCAGATGGGAAATAGCATCATGATGCGTGGGACACCAGGGGCTTCCATTCTCCTCTCTAAATTGGATTTGTATCCCCATGCAACAAAAATGTCTCCCTCCTTTACCACGTCTATTTTCTCCCTGGCAGAAATCAATATACACGTACCATACAGCACACATCTAACAAACTCAGAGCTACCCAGATGCACCAGACTCGTGGTGCAATACTGTAAGCAAAATTGGCACATATGCCATTATAATGTCTATGACCTGCAGGCCTCAAAATGAGGCCTGCACAAAAACTCTGACAGAGCTGTTGGATAGCCAGGAATCCCAGGCAAACCTAGAAAATCAAAAATAGGGGATTTAAAAAGAGTACACAGTTCATAAAACACAAATTACAACTACCAACAAAATTGGCACATATGCCATTATAATGGCTATGACCTGCAGGCCTCAAAATGAGACCTGCACAAAAACTCTGACAGAGCTGTTGGATAGCCAGGAATCCCAGGCAAACCTAGAAAATCAAAAATAGGGGATTTAAAAAGAGTACACAGTTCATAAAACACAAATTACAACTACCAACAAAATTGGCACATATGCCATTATAATGTCTATGACCTGCAGGCCTCAAAATGAGGCCTGCACAAAAACTCTGACAGAGCTGTTGGATAGCCAGGAATCCCAGGCAAACCTAGAAAATCAAAAATAGGGGATTTAAAAAGAGTACACAGTTCATAAAACACAAATTACAACTACCACACAGGATAAGTGATGGATGATGAGAGCTCTAAGCCATGAGAACCGCAAGAACACGTTGAACCATATGAATATGGACAGAACACATGCAAATTAATCCCCCACAATACATTGCGGCAACATTCCCTCTCAAACAAAAATATTTCCATTTTTAGCCACTAAGTTTTCCCCTAGAAAACTATCATTTTAGAGGAAAACTGGGAATTTTCATAAAGGTTGTTGCACACAAATACAGTTTCCCTTTCAGTAGAAACTTTATGACCAATTATAACTTACGTATTAAGTGCGTGCCACAAAATAATACCCGAAGGTCTTGAGATAAAATAAAACACCTTGATTTGTTTCAAACAACGCCCCTGGTAGGAAGCTACTGCAACGCACAATTTCTGGAAAAAGTGGGCGCTGTTTTCTAACATGATCAGCGCTGGATAGCACTCACTCTTTAAATCAACACCTCCTTTGTTGGGGACTGGCCCTTCGGGCGTTGCAGCCTTCTCACCTGTGTAGTTCCCATCTGCTCTGGGTCATGATTCCAAGTATCAACATACCTAGCTTTAGTAACTTATTCTTTCTGAAGACCAGTTCTGAGGTAATGTCTTTCAAAAGTCTGCACACGTTCCAGCTAAACAGGTAAAACAGAGAACTAAACAGACAAGTGCCAACATAATAAGCTCTACCAATTTATCTGGCAGAACTTGAATACAAACAAATCAAACAACCTTTTTTTATTTCCAGTAATACGTGCACATAATTGTGTACAAAATTATAATGTAAGTAAATGTGTACAAAATTCAAATTGTTCTTATATAAAATTTCCAAATGAAGCAATATCAAAACTTGAAGCCACACAAGAAGAACCAAACTGCCTGCTAGCCATCAATCTCCTCTACTTCATGTTAACTTGTTTGCATCTCTCGGAAAGACAAAACAAGCTGTCAGCATAAATCACAAACATTTTTCACTGTGACAATCGTAACAGTATGCCGGTCTCCCAGAAACAGGAAACTCGGAGAAGAGGTAATTAAAATGTCAAAGTCAAGAAAAAACATTCTTCTGAGTTTACTTTAAGAGATCAACTACTCCTAAATACCTGAGTTTGAAGTGGGGCTGGGGAAGGCCACTCTTAAAGGTGGCTGAGGTTGCTTTTTCTAAAGAATTTGAAATTAATACTAAACATGGGTCTTGCCCACAAAAAGACAATTGTTCACATCAGTACATCCCATGAACTGCACGACTGTATACATTGAACTCTAATAATCATCCTGGCCAAAAAACTGTGGACAGTGAACACACCCTAATGCTTAGCATCCTTTTCTTAGACTCCTGTATGTTCCATGTTAGCTTCATTAAGAAAAAGTAAGAATTTTTTGGTAATAGGTTAAAAGCAGTAAGTAGTAAAAATAACTTTTTGTTACAGTACTGTGTTGTACTGACAATTCATACAGTAACACAAACAAATATACCACAGTTGCCTTTAAGACAGCTGGTTAAAAATCAAGCAACTGAGGTGTCTGGTGAATGACAGTGTTGCCCCTGAATACTGTTCCCGGGCATACTGCATGACTGCAGCAGAATACCTTGAAAAGTAACACACAGGTTGCATAAAAAAACCCATAATTATCTGTTTCAAGAGGTGCCACTGAAAAAAAAAAATCCCCCATGGCTTTTGTGACACAGGGAATTAAGACATAACTCTCAGATATAAAGGACCTACATTTTCAACACTGGTTTAAATATTGAAATTTCAAATTGGGATGGCAAGTCCTAAAAGTTGGGCCATATTAGTGATAAGTGAAAGGATGCTGCATGATATCTACCATCACAATTTTTTAAAATATACACTACAAACTATAAAAAAAAAAAAAAATCATTTTACAGAACAGTTTCTATACAACAGGTGGAAGTGACTATTTCTTGCCCCAGAAATCCTTCCTCTTCTGAGCTCGTTCCAGTATCTGAGATGCAAGTGAGCTAGATGCTGCCGAGCGAGCAGAAATCTGAGACAACCTGTCATCTGTGGAGAAAGCAACAAGGGGAAAAGTAAATAGGAAGATTAAATACACATACTAAAACGCAGTTGACCTTCATGGCAGACTTTGAAAGTGCAAATATTTTTATGCCCTTTCTCACAATGGATGCAAAAATAGTACGCACAATACACTAATTCTATCATTTGGTAACTGACATGCTAGAAAAGAATCTCACTAGAAAGCTCCTAGGATGCTATGTAAGTACAAGAGAGATACATGTCCAAATCTTGACTAACTCCAGAATAAGATCCCTACTGTCACCTGGGAATTGCCCAGTTCTCCAAGTCATCTTTACATTTACTCTCCTGCGTCAGAAGACCTCAGAAATCATTCCTCTGCCACTGAAGTCTGTATAGACTAGACTCTGATAATAACATACTCATGAAAGCAACTCACGGCTTCAAGCAAAGCAGACAACCTTAGAATAACACATGACTAAAATATCAGACCTTATGTTGCCAAAAGACCCGTTCTGGGCCAAAACCAGCTAGTGTGCCACAAGCTGTTAAAAGAAATGTGTCTTCTGAAGAAAACAGGAAGTTTAACACAAAGACAACAAGAAACATGCTTTAAAAATGTAGTTTTGAAAGGTTTTCCTTTTGAATACAGGATCCACTTCACACCCAGCAAAACTTAAGCAGCCTGGACACTGCTTCTCTAATAAAGCACAACATTGTACTTCTTTAACATCATTATTAAAATGTTGCTACAGCTCTGTCAAGATGCTCTCTACGAAAAATGACCTTAATTACACCCATTCTCCTGCAATAATTAAAAAGAACTGTATCACTACTTTCCAGCCCCCCTAACAACAAAAAAAAACTCAACAAAAATTTCCACAACTCAGTCTTAACAGGACCTGTACTTTGTCAGTGTTTCAATTAACTTTTCAGTAGCATTTCTAAGTTCTTGAAATACAGTGATCCAAACAGGCTGTAACAGGCTTACACACTATGCATAACAACTGTATTCCTACGTATGAGAAAACTGCTAACTGCACTTCTGCAAACAGACATGTCATTGGAAGAACTCCCGGGTTTGTATGTACATGAACAAATATGGGCATATGAACTATCTGTGAGCTGGCACATTGCACCTGTTTCTGAAAGCTTATACATCATCACTCAGCTCAGAAGGGAAAAAAAAAAAAAGAAACAGCAGTTACAGCATTTAATCTGTGTGCAGCAAGCTTGTGGGAAGCTGCAGAGTACTACAGGATTTTGCATGTTTTATGTCGAAATACAGATGCTTGGCTGAGCCATCTGCACAACCCACACATTTTCCAGCCAACTGCAATGAGTAAAACAGAGAATCGGGCTGAACCTTGGTTAAAACCAAGGAGCAAACAAGCACAAGGGGTATAGAAAAAGCCTTTTGGTTGCTCTGGGGTATATCTATAAATAAACTGCGATCAGATATAAGGTTGCTCTGCCCATACTCTAATCTGAACCAAACACAGGTGATTGCGACTAGCACAGCACACCACCAAGCTCAACCTCATACACCATGCTAAGAAGCAATGTATACAGCTCAAGCTAATGAGGCTACAACGCCTTTGGTTGACTCACATTACTGAGAGTTTACTTGTGACTGCCCACAAAAGGGCCAAGAAGATGCACTGGCAGGCTGTGCACTGGCTGCTCCCCCACATTAACTTTACAGTAAACAGAATAAAGGTCAAAACAGCAATCAGGATGCCATAAGTACCCCTAATACATCGAGTAGACGAATAGGTGTGAAAATTAAAGTCAGAAGAATCATTGTATGCTGTGTATCTGGTGCTGAAGTCACACAAGCAAAATCTTTATCTTAAGATTTTTGGTACTTTTTCAATTGCATGCAAAGTTACTGCAGCTGCAACCTGGGCTGGGATAGTTTTGCAGTTCACTCCTCTTGCTACCAACACAAAGGCTTTAAAAAAAAAAAAAAAAGTGTGGGGAGGAAACAATTTTAGTTATGGAACCAAGCAAGCTGTAGTAGACCACTGTGGTTCAATATGGTTTTTTAATTCTCAGCCACATTTAATGGTTTATTTATACTAGAATATACCTTCATATTCACACTTCAGATTACTAGGACGAACATTTTCAAATTATTTTGATGGAACAATGTGGTAATTATTCATGCAAACACATAAGCTAGTATTACTTATTGCATTCAGAGACCTCTCATGTTAGCATAAAAGTTAAAATTAATCTAGGTAATATACACATGATGTACAACAATAATTTGGGACAACAAATACCTTCATCATTATAGTTTCTTTCCTGGAGGGGTAACTGGAAAGATCTAGGTTTTGGATTGCCAACATTCCCTAGGACAAAAAGTTAAAGGCACATTTTTGAATAATTTCAAAATAGACTAAGGACAATATTTCATTTTAGAACATTTGAAAACATTACATTATTTCCAAAACATGAGTCTCACAAATAGCAAACGTACCAAAAACTCCAGGATAGTCCTTTACTCAAAGCTGAGGTAAAATAAACTTACTTCACTGTATTCTTCTCAAGGCACCTATCTTTTTAGACGATAGAAGTTACTTAGTGAACTGCATTCGAGGTGCAAAGCTTGAACATAGCACCAATTCTAACCTCTTTCCAAGGACATTCTTTGGATTTCACCATCCCACTTGATCTGACAACTACTTGTTTCATTCTAGAATGGAAATACTACTTTTGTTTAGCTAACCTGTATAATAAAAGGACTAAAAATCGTGGCACCTTAAGCAGCTATAGAAAGTCTTTCTGGAATGGAGACTTAAGCACATAAACTTTATTTTGACTAAGGGGTGAAGGACTCTTTGCTTTATCAAATTTATGCCCCCAGTACCCCTAAACTTTGTTAAAAAAAAACAAAAATCTTTGAAATGTTCCAGCATTCCTCCTCAGCCAAGAAATGGCTTTTCTCAATATCCAACAAATCTTTCCTAGATGGCTTTTTTGTTTCCATATCCTGCAGAAATATTTAAGGAGCTTATCTCTCAGAAATCCACAACTCCTGCTAACTAATACCACACTATAAAGGTCCACAATTACACACCGCTGTTCGTAATTCCAGCTGGAAAAGTGTCACAGCATCCAGGTGTAGCCTGAAGATTAAAAGTTACAACTGTTCATGCTAAACCAAATTACTCTCACAATGAGTAATTACTTATTAAATTTTAGTAAGGCAAAATTAGACAACAGATCACTAGAATATAACTATATTAGTGGAATCCAAGCTGAGGTGGAGAGTTGTGCACATCTCCTCAGCAAGACTAAGCATATAGTAGAAAAGCTTTTGTTTACAAATAACATTCTTTGTAGAGCCTGTAAAGCAGCAAGCTCAGGATTATCTTAGCCTGAACACTGCATGGTAGCCATTTCCATCCTGCAGCACTCTAAAACAGCCAGTTAATACACAAAACCCACCATTATGCTGGAATTCTGGATCTTTGAGAGTTCCTTGAATACGACGAGAGGGACTCCAGCAATTCATTAAGCAGCTTTTGCCTGACTTCAGCACAGGAGGTGTACAGGAATGCTCTTGATGGGCTGAAGCAAGAGGAACTTGCTCATCAGAAACTCTGTTAGGAGGCCACAGATCCCGCCTAAGTGGCAGAGGATCCAAAGTTCCCAGCCCAGCAGGTGGGGAGGTAAGGTGTGAAACAGCTTCTACTTCCACATCAGGCTAAAACACAATCAGAAGAAAAAAAAAAAAAATAAACAAAACAACACATAAAACCCCAACATCTCCTATAGAGCCTTCCAGTACAGATCATCACATACGCAGCAAGTGTTGGCTTTACACTGTTAAACTTTTCATGAGGGTACTGGAAGTATTTCAAGCTTGTGAAACAGCTTAAAGAAAATCTATTCCTAATAGCAAGCGTTTAACATGGTCTGAAAGTAATCTGGGCAGGTCAAACCAAAAGCTTATTTTCTCCACAGCAAAACACTGTGATCTTAGATTTGAAACCAACACAACCAACTTCTCATGCAATTGTGTCTACTTCTATTGCAGAACTTGCTACAGAGCATGTATGCAGTGAAATGCTAGCTGTCTTTGTAGAACACAGACTAAGCACAACTTGACAAAAACCCCACAATTTTGAGAGGAAGACAGTTAAAACAACTCCTAAACGTTTCTATTTTTCTTTTAGTAACTGTGCAAGCTGCAAAATGAAAGAAGCACAAAAGTAAAGGGAAGGGAGAATTAAACTACTATGGCACATTCACCTATCTTGTACCTAGGCAATGAAGCTCTCCTTCTTAAACTTCTTTCAAGTCAAGGAATCTAGAGCTGTGCCCTATGTCAGTGGCAAGCTTTAAAGGGGAAAGCAGGGGGAAATCAATAGGTCCTGATGACAGATCTTTTTAAAAAAAAAACAACCAAACAAACAAAAAAACACCAAACACCAAACCGATCTTGCGCATTTAGCAGAAAAAGAGAAAAAGCCAAAATGGAGCTCACACTCAATCTCACTCCAATAGCCTCAACTCCTTTGCTTGATACCTCAAAAAAATGATTTAGTCAGACATCAGCCTTTTTCAGTCACAGATGCTGAAAATTTTAGAATAGTAAATGACAACTGAAGAAAAAGTATTATTAATTAAATTATTCACAATCACTTAAAAAGCACATTCCTAAAATGCATAATGATAAGTCTCTTTTCTGGCTTACCTGTACAGATCTTTTTGAAGCTCCTCTTGCACCTTGCTTAGCTGAAGAAGGGTCTGATCCTAAACCTTGTGTTCTCTGCTGTGAAGATGAAGACTTGAGTTTAGGTGGAGACACTAGAACCGCACCTCCTATTGTAGTGGAGAAGATGAAAAATGCTTTATTACCTTAAATAACCTACTAAATTAATTCTTTTTTTTTTTTTCTTTAGTTCTTGAAATACTACTTTGCAGTTAAAAGTTATTACCAACAGCTGGGGTAGTGAGATCATGATGAGTCCTCTGAACTCCACCAAGCGCCCTCAGCTTCGGAGTAGGAAGCCTGCCACCTGTCCTTGAGGATACAGAAGAAGAATCTGATACAGCTGGAGAAGAACTCAATACTAAGGTATTCTCACTGCAAAAAAATGAGAAATGATCAAAGGATTAGCTAAGGACTCAGGAGTCTTGCACTCAAGGTTTTTGTTTCTAATACATTCCCACAACGAAGCCTAAGGCAAGACAGTTAGGGCCATAAAACGCTAACAGCATGTTGCTAAAACATCTGCTTGCAATGAGGAGTCCTGGATTCCAGCCCCAGAGCCTCAGTTTCTGGGGTTTTTTGTTGGTTTTTTTTTTTTTAATGTAACTGGATAAAATACATAAACAGTCTCAAACTGCAAATTCAGGCTCCCTCTGTCCTAATAAACCTTGAATGTATTGCTGCAGAGTAGCAGAGACTCAACAGGAGGGCTGGAAAGAGCACTCACCCAGAAAAACTTTGAACCTGGTTGCCACCTTAGAGGTGGGAATGTGGGTTTGACTCTTTTCAGTCAATGTGGCAGAACTGAAACCCAGTATCCCACATTTATGTAACCGCTCTAGCCCCTAGGTTATTAAATAAATCAGCACTGCCACTTCTGTCTTCTTCCTCCAGATGCATTTCAAAAGGACGCAGCGGCATACCCACACTCTGCAAGGAACCTGATCCTATCAGTGCACGCTATACACGCTCTGAGGACACGTAGACAAAGAACACCTCATTTCTAGCTCTCAAGCAAGCTTAGATAACATGCAAGTGTTAAGCTGCCCTGCATGGCCAAGTCCAGAGCAGATCTCAGCACACAGAGCCACATTGCAGGACGACAGAAAATCTTCAATGTCAGAGATACATGTAGGAACTAGATAATCTCCAGAATTAGAGACAGAAACTTAAGAAGGTTTTCAGGATGACAATTTTGAAAGCCTGCATTTAATTTCTGTTTGAATCTAGCATCTCATCTCAACCTTTCTTTGCCTGGGTTTTGCACACAGGATATTATCCCCAAAGGAGACAATCACAATTCCTTACATTAGATTCATGTCGCAACACCAAATATAAAATTTAATGAGGAATACAAAATGCTCTGATGGTATGGTAACAAGAGCCAAAGTTATTCAGAGTTAAATATCTATCAAACTAAAATACTGTTCTACCAAAAAAGTATGCAAAACTTACACAGTAAAAAGCCAGAGACTTCTGTAACTAGATATAATTTGGATCTTTCAACTGTCAAATATAGTACTATGATCTGTACTATGCATATACTGAATTGATCTCTCCTTATATCTAAACACCTCTCCACCTTTTCCCCCACCTGTGCTCAGTAACGTAATCCCCAATTATTACTGGATGCTCATTATATTTTTCTCCCAAGTCCTTCATCTTTGCCCATGATTTTTTTTTTAAAGACAAACAGATGCTTAAGCACAAGATTAGTATGTATTCTATCCTTTCAGTCCTATAAATCCTATGCTGTCAACTTGAAGCAAATTGTAAGCCTTGATTTTCACTACACTTGGCTACTGTGTAATGAACAGTCTGTTCTGAGACCCATACTGCAAATTTTAAAGTTTTCAAAAAAAAAAAAACCGCATTAGAATTGTTCATGCTTCTACAAACTTCTGTCTTGCAAGTTACAACTCCAGTAATCTTAATGATAAATCCACTTCTACCAACCAGTTCAACATCCTGAACTTTCTCATTCCTTATCATACTGTTAAAACAAAAGCAGTGCCACACCATCTTAATAACTCCTTAAGTAAATCTGATTCAAAACCCAAAATTAGTTAACCTACAAATTTCTGAGATGTTAGAGGAAAAAAATTACATATATACACCACAAACATGTTCAGTTTTACCCTTCAATTTTCTTATCTTCATTGGCAACCTTATTGTTTTCTTCCAACTTCTGAGTCACGACTGCAGCCTGTTCACCTTGGTTTTCTTCCTCTCCTGTTGATTGTCGATTCTCCCTTTCTTCAGTACCTTCTTGTTCACCCCAAACCAAACGCCTTTTGACTGGAACAGTTAAAGCATCTGACTTGTCTTTCTTCTCAGTGCTGTTCTGGTGTGGCTGTTCTCTGGAGTCAGGTTGCTCCAGCATTTTGGGGCTTGGTGCAGTCTCTTTTTCAGAAACTCTAGGTAACAAAGCAAGCAGTGTTTCACACCATTGATTTGCATGATGTACGCATGTCTATGTAGAACACATTTATCCAGTTCAGTCCTTTGTCAAAAGTACGGCTCAGATATTAAAAAAAAACTTTCCGCTGAAGTTTTAACTGATGTTTAAGCACAATCCATTTTCAAACTAGATTCTGTGAAAATTCACTCTGGATTACCATTTCCAAAAATGTAATGTAAAATCAGGTCTCTATTTCCAATTTAAACAGCATGTTAGTTGTTTTTTAACATTTCTGATAATCTAATTCCACACATAGGGACTGTCTGATGGGACCATTTTGACAGCCAAGCAGCTTAAAAGGCTTCTCTTTAGGCACAACTTTTGAAAGTCTTTGAAACTCTCAACTGCTCACAGAAACCAGTGCAAATTAGCCCAATGCACTGAAATGAGATCAGTAAGAGAATGTGTATTTCACAGGCAAAAAAAAATGAACCAGTAAACCAAAAAATTTACACCATACTTAATCCCACACATTATATTGTAATAAATACTCTTCCACGTGTCATTGCCCAACCCTTAAGAGAACTACAGTCATGCAAATGGATAGATATCTCCCCCATGCAAACAACACAAGTAGTGTGCATACAGCAGCCTAGATGGACTGCAGACAGAGGTATCCAAGGCACAGGTTTTAAATATCAGCTCTCAGAGAATTCACAAATGGCTTTTTTTTTTTTTCCCCTCCTTGCTTCAGCAATAGCTGAGGTACATTTTACTAAAATACTCATTCTGAATTTTCCTAGCAAGGGATTTAATATCTACCAATTCCGATGGTTTTCAAAGAAAGGAGACAATGGATGTACACCATTCCAGTTCTGAAGTCTTCATCTCAGAACTAAACAGTGTCTAAGACTCCACCACAAGATTAATTAATCCTGAGAAGAACACTGATAATATCTGAGTAGGCAAAACATATTTCGTCTCATTCCAGCAGAAAGAAGAGTATTACTTCAGTATGACTCAGTGTGAAATTCCTCCAGGCTTGATAAGACTAAGATTGCCACACTAAATATGCATTTATGGAGAATTATAAAGGCATAACTTTTCTTCTTTCAGAAGACTGGACTGGGCCTCATTTTTAATTTGAGTAGCTATCAACTGACATATCTGTGAAAAGGTAAATGCCCTCATCTGTTCTTGAGAATTTACATATCCCAGAATCATAGAAGAGCCCAGGTTGGAAGGGTCCTTGCAAGACCATCCTGTCCCAAACCTTCACAGGGAAATGGAGCCCAGATGAGATTACTGAGCACCCTGTCCAGTCACATCTTGAATACAGTCAAACATCCAAGATCTCACAGCTACACTAAGCCTATATTCTCCATTTTGCTCTGTTTCAAAGCCACAGAATAGGCAGGAATGATGAGCTTACCCAGCAAGATCTAATGCTCTGATGTTGTTGCTGATGCCTTCTTCTGAACTGGAATTTGAGGACACATCCCAAAGACTGTTATTATCAGACAGGATCTGATTGAGATGGTATCGGGAGAAGTGTGTTCCCTCTACTCGCTGCCTGTAAGCCTTTGCTCTTTCTCGAAGTTCTCTCACCTGCACATCAAGGTTTCATAAGTTGCACGTCTGTTTAAAGTTCATCGATAGGTGCTATCATAACATATTTGCATTAGCTAAAGGCAGCTAAAGGAGAAAGGAAAGTTACTCATAATACAAGGCCGCCCACAGCACAAACATTGCATGCCGCAGTAAATGCAACAAAAGGAAAGCAAAAATAACAAAAGTGTACACTTAGTAAGCATGTTTGAGCCATGAAGCCAAAGCAAAATTGTCAATTACTCATTCCATTAGAACAAAAAGTTATGCAGCAGCTATGAATAAGTTTAGTGCTGGATTCTAGTTTTTCCATCAGCGCTGAGACACAGAACATTGAAACAGGAACTTAGAAGCAACAAACCTCCATATACCACATGGAATTTAAGGTGTTTTGAGATGCCTAAGGAGATGAATACAGAATTATTTTAAAATTTCTTATTTTACTCTCAACACTGTATTGTTATTATCACCCTTATAACTTTATTTCAGTCTAAGTAAGAAATTAAATACTAAATACCTGTCAACATAGCTCTATGCTGCCTCCCTGAGATTCAGTTAAAAAGCTGTAAAACAAATACATCGGCACTGGTATTTCATCAGTTTTTGCCAAGCTTGAGGAAGTTAATTTAGATTTCTAAGCCTTAACACTCAAAGATATATTCACCACACACTAATTTATGATTATTTCAAGTCAACAGATCTCTGTGCATGTGTAGTACTGAGTATGTATGCTGTGAACACTGCAACTGTCTCCAGCTACATTAATCCTGTGTCAGTGAGGAGCTGATTATTATAGGAGAACTCTTGGTGCTATTGTGTGTAAGACATAATATCAAAATCACTCCTCCTACGCTACCAGAAACTGTAGAATAAGATGTCAGGTTTAGTCTTAAAAAAATGAAAGTCATAAGCCCTCTCTTTAGACACCGCACTGCTGATTTTACACTATCATTTTTATGGCTAAAACTATTTCAACTCTCACATGTCTTGTGTCCTTCACCCAAACACAATTAAAGTGCAGGAAGAAAAAGCAACAACAAAACTTTTACGTTTATGTGATTAAAAATATCTTTGTGATATTGTTGTGTGAATTCTGGCTCACTAAAAAATGGTTCACAGGAAATAAGTATTTTGCCAAAGAGCAGGAAAGTAATACTGACACTTCCTCTAACACATTTTCATAGCTTTTCTTATTTACTCTTCTTTCATGATAGACTTCACATCGTTCTTCCTGCAAGGAAAAGAGTTAAGTGGGCCAAATCCTGCTAAACCCACTAGAAGTAACTGGATGCAGCAGATGGAAATCCTCTTAGCCCACACTAGCTAACATCTCGCAATTTGACCCACTAAACTTCCAAAGAATAGCCTGTTAAAAATATATACTTGTCATTTTAAGAGGAAAGTTTGAAGTCTGAGGTGCAAGTGATCTACTGGATTATTCACTTTAAGTAGAAGGAGGAAAAATTAATGATAGCCACAACAGAAGGAATATAAATCCAAAGCAACAGGACACTGCAGGGGGAGGAAGAATACTATGTCTCCAGTGAATTGTGAAGAAGTACAAAGGACAACCATCTCCTTCAGTGACTCAGCGGGCAGCATTATCTCAGCAGGGCACAGGCCCCAGGGAGTCCTACTGTGATTATGAACTGCCCGTATTAATTTTTCAAAAGCATAATTCAAAGAGATTTTTTCATTCGAATCAATTTTTTCATTGCTGAAAAGCAACCCTTAATAATGTATTGTAGAGCAGCAGTCTAGGAGTAATCACTACGGCTAAGGTCATATCAGAATTCTATTACGGTCTTTGCCTGTTTGGGCGCAGAACTTTGGAAAGCCTGCTTTGGACCCAAAGTTATCCATGTCCGCTCCCAACTAAGGGGGAAACCAGACTGGATCAGTCAGAGCTTATCATCCAATCACTTAAACTACTCAAGAGGCACCTGTGGCAGGGGTGAGTCTCAACCATCAAGCAGAGGAAGAGGTTAGACACAGCTTTGCAGAACATTGATCTTCATGTCAGTGAAAACTATTGGGAACAGGCATGGAATAATTTAGAAACCAAAAGGACTGTCAGGTGGCCTATATTGTGAATGGCCAAAGTACCTTTGTTGCTTTATTATAAAACCGATGCACTTGACACTTTTTTCAAGTTATGCATACTTACATAAATCTGCCATTAACATATTTCTCAAGTGGCTAGATTCTTTCTTATGTTTCAACCGTAAATGAAATACTTTATTCAGTCCTACTATTTTAGCCATGCTGGATCCCATTCTGTAGTCCTTATAACAAAAATATTGATGGATGCTACCAAAAAAAAAAAAAAAAAAAAAGAAAGGGCCTGCGCAAGAATACGGTCTATCAGGAATTTGTATTAATTCTTGTATTCTTGTATTAACAGAGGTTTTAAGAATTAACCTTGGTTTTCTTCCAACCTGTCTTGAAGACAAGAAAATTCCAAGCTTTAATCTCACTCTTTGTTTTCACCACACCCACGAAAAGCTTCTTTTTAAGAATTATAACCCAAAATTATACCTATGCAAATAGTAATAGGACAATAGCAAATTAAAAAAAAAACTCCATAAAGAAAAAATCCTACACAGTAACTCATTTACACAAGCTAAATATTATTCTTTGTCTACTCTACAAGTTTGATATGCTGTACTGGTTTTGGCCAGGATAGAGTTAAATTTCTTTATCACAAGCTAAATATTATTCTTTGTCTACTCACAAAACTAGTTTGATACGCTGTACTGGTTTTGGCCAGGATACAGTTAAATTTCTTTATCGTAGCTCCTATGGTGCTATGTTTTCAACTTCTGCTGAAAACACAGTTGATAAGAAAGGGATGTTTTAGCTATTGCTGAATGGTGCTTTCACAGCGTCAGGTCCTTTTCTGTTTCTCATGCTGCCTCACCAGCGAGAAGACTGAGGTTGCACAAGCAGCCAGAAGGGGACACAGCTGGGACAGCTGACCCCAACTGGCCAAAGGGATATTTCATACCATATGATGTTGAGCCCAGCAATAAAGCTGGGGAAGAAGGGGACATTTGGTGTTCGTCTTCCCAAGTAACCGTTATGCGTGAGAGACATGCTTTCCTGGAGATGGCTGAATACCAGCTTGCTGATGGGATGTAGTGAATGGACTCCTTGTTTTGCTTTGCTTGCGCAGACAGCTTTTGCTTTACCTGTTAAACTGTCCTTATCTCAACCCACAAGTTTTCTCACTTTTACCCTTCTGATTCTCTCCTCCATCCCACTGAGGGGGAATGAATGAGTGGCTGTGTGGGGCTCAGCTGTCTAGTGGGGTTAAACCACAACATACATTCACAAACATGTGATGTAAAGTCTAACAGAGAGGGGAAACATTCGGGTAATTCCAATTATAAAATTTTGTTGATTATATGTACATAATCAACAACAGATCATCAGTAGGGTAAAACTAACTTGTCTCACGACAGTCTAATCCCAGTTCATGTTCCCTATTAGTGGGTGAACAACTCTTGGGGAATTCTGCTTCACAGCTCATACTAGGATCCAATGTAGTTACGCACATATAAAAATGTGTATGTAATCAAAAACGTGTATGGAATCTAAGCACATTTGTCAGCAATAAAACACTTGTTATTACAGTCTTGAAATTAATTTGGCTCTTCCAGCTATGCAGCACAACGCCTTCATTTAGAAGGCCCTAAGCATCCTAATAATTCTTTTCTGAATCCTTCATGCCTACTCCCAAGTGACTTCCTTCTAGTTTCTTCTGCAATTCCCTTGTTCAGCAAGAAAATCGTCCTGGAAAAGTCACACACATCCAAAACACGTATCTACAGTGTGGGAATTTCTTGGTTTCTCATGCGCTGTAATTAAACGCTGCATATATTTACTTCCTACATCTCTCAAACCTGACCCAAAAAGGATTCTTTCCCATCCTCCACTTGCAGTCTCCTCACTCTTCCCCTTGACTGTAGTGCAATGAC